TTGATTTAATCTTTTCATCACCATTTAGTTTTCGGAAATTTCTTTTACTCTCCACAACATTTATCTTAGGTTTAGTTACTATTTTCGAAACTTGATATTTGCTTACCTCCTCGTGGGATTCGACCCTACTTTCGCTATATTGCGTTTTAGAGTAGGTTAATAATTGTTGGTTTGACATCCATCAATTTTGGTATTGTTGCTGGGGAGGCAATAGTTAAATGTTAGGTTTGAAAGAAAGTGTGCCCATCTTTGAGCTATTAATGAAAAATTGTCCATCTTATCAGGAAAATCTTCATTATTGGAATACTTGTCCCAATTTTAATAGTTAGGATGGTTACCAACAAAATTATCTTTTTATGATTTTAATCCTAGTTAAACTAATAATTGTTTTGATTTTTATCAGCAGGATTACTATAACTCTAGTCCATTCCTTCATGAATTAATATCCCAAGAGAAGCAAAAAAAAGAGATTAAGGAGCTCACTCAGATCGTTCTCCAAGTGACAAAAAGATATGAAACTATGAGTGTATAGGTCCAAAAAATGGTTGACCTCTTGGGATGTAAGGGAGAGAAGAATCATGATGAAAGGACTTGCCTCTGAAAAAAGTAGAGAGCGTGGTAGAAGAAAAAGTAGAGAGCGTGATAGAAGTAGAAGATGAGACACCACAACTTGAAGAAACTATTTTGGATGATGTGCTAGAAAAGGGCGATTTGAGTGTGGTGTTTGGTCAAACAATTTTTCTACCTATTGAAAAGTAAAATCACATTGACTCGGAGATTCAAGATTCTTTGGTGGTTTTAGAAGAGTCAATTGTAGTCATTGGTGAGAACAACAAGGATGGAGTCGAAGGTGAATTTTCTTGGAAAGTGCATGATGAATATATTAATTTCAATCAATTCCAAGCCAAGAGACCTCCAAGAAGTTGGGAAAGTAGAGAAGAGTTGATTTCCTTATATGTTGGATGATGAATAATTGTGAAGAAATTCTTCCCAGAGGCATGATCGAGAAGTTGATGGCACATTTTTGTGGTACCGAGATGGTTATTCCGAGTGGCCAAGAGATATGAGAGTTTAGGCTCAAACGGAGTGACCCATCTCACTCTGAGTGATTTGAGCACACTGAGAGTAATACTGAGGCACTCTACAGAGTGGTTATATGACTCTATAGAGTGGGTCTGAAGCACCTTTGAGCATAATTCTAACGAAATCGACACTCTGTAGAGCGGCTGTCATCACTATGCGGAGTGGGGGTCAACATAACTTGGTGCTGGGATTTTCACTTGTCTCTTCTTTTCGCCAACTTGCCTGTGAATTAGGGAAGTACTGCTGCTTTTCTCCCCTAATTGATATTACTTGTATTTGTAATTGAATGCTAAGTCCTTTGGAGGTTTGATAAAGTGTGTGATGCTTTGTTTTGAAAATTTTGTGCTTAATGTCTAATTATTTGTCTTTAGTCTGGATTTATATTTTGATTATATTTTTGAGCATTGATGCCATCAAGCAATCTTGTGATAAATTTTCAAAATCAATTTGAGTGATGTATTTTGAATTACCTAGTTCCGTTCTGAGTTTTGGTCTTCAATTTTAATTTTATTTTTGGAACTGTGGTGATTTTGATTTTCTTGCTTTGTAGGGACTGTATGCATAAATTTTATGTATGCCAAGAAACTTGATGAGCTTAGTTTATGATATTTTTAGTCTGCACTTAAATGCTAATACTTGGTGCTCGAGAGAGATCTTTGTGTGTATTCTTTATTGTTGACAGGTATAACATTGGTTGGCCGTAACAACGACGTCATGAACCCTTGTATCGTGTATTGTACCGAGGGTAGTCGTGCTTGGTTCTACAATCACAATAAGCAAGTTTGTCAAGTGTGGATTGACATGTCTTTTAAATAGGGAAGTGTTTCTAATTTTTTTTATAATTATTTTTGCACTTCCTTTGAGTTTTGTATTTTCTTGATTTTATGAAGATATTGTCATGTTTAAATTTGGGGGAAGTAATGGCATGCCATATCATTTGATTATCATCTTTGCATGACATTGATTTCTGTGGATCTTCTTCTATGTACCTTGCCAGGCGGTTATTAATTGTTTACTGTCCCTATGTGCTTATTTGTGTCCATTGAGGACAACGTCCATTTTAAGTTTGGAAGAGAATAACTCATTTTGTGGGTATTAGTGTATATGTCCTCAAGTTTTCGGTTCAAACTCTTGTTTTCAAAAAAAAAGGGAAAGAAAAATCACAAAAAAAATCGTCTTGAAAAAAAAAATCTTAAATGAGAAAAAATTCAACAGAGTCATGTTAATTAAAAAAATGCATGCTTTGAGAATTGTCAATAATCTATGATGAATTCGAATTTGAGGGTTACATCTGACTGTAAAAACACCTATTCATGATCACTCTTAGGCAATGTTAGAAACTCATGACCACATCCTTATGCACAACATTTCACATAACAATGTGTTGCTTTGGGCTTAAACTTTTATAATCTTGAATGCTCAGTGCATTGTTGTGATCTTATATTGGAGTCCACTTGTCTGAAACCTGAGAGGACTGTAAATCTGAGAGTTAGATAAGGCAGCCCTACGCATTATGGCAGTCTCGAGTCGAACCCATAGTGGTTTGGGTTAACCTATATACCTTGGGAAAAGGGGAAGTTAGCGGTTGAATATGAGGTTAAGTGTTTTATCTAATGAAGGAGTGTAGGCGGAGTGTCCAATGTGGTATTTATTCCCCTGAGAGGTGAGGTACGACACGAAAGAGAGGAGTGTCCTTAGGCCTAGTGAGTTTAAAAAAGAAATTAAATGCTTAGATTACCATAGTTGCTGAAACATGCTCTTAGTAAAGACCTAAGTGGGAACGAGTCCAAAGAAAAGCCAATTGGACCAAGGTGGAAAAGGTACGAGGGTGAAAAGATGCAGCCAATAATACTTGTAGAAATGAGAGGAAGCCTTTAGTTCTAAAGTTCAGTGAGAATACCCTAGTTGAAGGTAAGAATGAAATAGGTACTGATCACAAGAATGTCCACTTGAAATAAATTGAACCTAATCTTAGAATGGACAGTAGGTTAAGCAACACATTATTTTGTGGTCTGTTTCACACACTCACGGAAGTGCGTTTCTGACTAGCTCAGGTGGTACTGAACTATGGTGTACATTATTTGTCTTTGATGAGACTTGAATCTGAGATAAGTTTTGGCAGTTCTCTTTGTTGTTTTTGTATAATAAATTGAGTTTCGAATTTGTTTGCTTGAGGACAAGCAAAGTCTTAAATTTGGGGGAGTTTGATGAGTCTAATATTTACATTTATTTTTATATAATTTCCCTTAAGATTTTGTGTTGTTTTTATGTGCTTTAAAGAATATTTACCTAATAAAATATTTATTTGTAGGATTAACGAAATTGATGATGATTACAGTCAAATGAAATGAAATTAGATTAAATTGAAGAAGAAAGAAAAGGTTGAGGAGCTGGCTATTGGGATTTCACTTCGCGGGTTCTTCAACTGTGACAAGGAGAGGGGCACCAGACCCTTTGCTGCTGTTCTACACCCGGCTTTGCGTTTGTTTATTTAATTATGTCTTTTAATTAATTCAGTGTTCGACTGTTAGAGTACATGGATGTTCTCTACTGAATTATTTTACTTTGATGGTAAGTTTAATGGTTATTTCTTCTGTTTATAATTTTTCGGCAATTATCTTGATCACATATTCGCTTGTGTTTCTAAATTTAGCATACTTAGGAATAAGATGTTAAATTTAGCTCTGTTGAAATAGGCTATGACTTCAACGTAAAAGTTTAGGGTTTCTTACCGGATAGGAATATACCAGTAAGGCATGGTTGGTCATATGAGATACCTGGATTTAATGACTCTACAATTAAATTCAACCATAGGAATATAGGCTTGTGATTAGTTGTAGGGATACCCTTTTAACTTTGGCAGGAATTTAAGGATGTAATTAGGAGATCCAACCATCATTTGTCATCATTGTTAGGTTAATAATTAGTTAGCAACTGAATGGAAATAACAGTTGAATTCTTTTCTTGATTTAATCTTTTCATCACCATTTAGTTTTAGGAAATTTCTTTTACTCTCCACAACATTTATCTTAGGTTTTAGTTACTGTTTTCGAAACTTGATATTTGCTTACCTCCCTGTGGGATTCGACCTTACTTTTGCTATATTGTGTTTTAAAGTAGGTTAATTATTGTTGATTTGACATCCATCATGTTTTATATTATTATCTGACTTAGGTTTTGGGACCTTTTTCCTAGTAAAAGATGTGGTTTTAAAATTTCAAGTACATAAGGGACTTAAAAGGGATTTTTTTTTTGTTCCTATTTTGTGAAACTGTAGATAAAGGTTGTTGATATATGAACACATTTGGTGTTTTCATGTTTATTAAACATATTTTGTTGTATAAATGGGTTTCTGTCATATTGTTTTGTGCCCTTTTTTAAATAAAAAATGTCATATTGTTTACATATCAAAAGAAGTTGGTAATCTAATTGTGTATTGTTTAATGCTTCTGTGTAAGCATCTCTATTAGTAGGTGGTCACTGATGTAGTTTTCTTTTTCAGGTGAGGGTTCTAATCTGATTACAGTTAAACTTTGTCATGTGGGTGGATTTGCTATGCAAAACACGTACACTTATGTGGAGGGTGAAGTTGAGTACTTTGACCAGGTAGATTCTGCGATACTTACGAAAGAGGGGTTGGAACCCCTTATTGATAGGACTAAGTACTGCAGGCAGCATAAACTTTTTTTTAAGGATCCAAATATGGAAAGGCATGGAGGATATAGAGTCATAGAGGGGATGAAGATGTTTATGACTTGATAGCGTTGAAGAATGAATCTGGGACTGTTGAAATGTTTAGGTTAGGGGTGAATGAATTTGATCCATTCATGAAAAAAGGTTAGCAGGATAATTATGATTGGGATTCTAAAGATAAAGAGGCCAATGATTCAGATTATATTGCTGAGAGTGAATCTAAAATGTCTGACAAGTATGATAAGAATTTTAGGAAATACTTTGATAATAGGGTTGCATCCACACCATGGTGTTCTTTTGGACAGCAAGCTGATTCAAAGCATGATGATGGGAAGGGTTCAAATGGGGGTGAAGATAATGATTCGGATGAAGATTATGGGTCTTGTGATGACTTATTTAGTGAAAATGAATATGAGGATGAAGAGAGTAAACGTCCAATCCAAAAGGACAAGGTCTTTAACTCTGCAACAGACATGAAGAATCCTGAATTTGAGCTATACCAAAAGTTTTGAGCTAAGTGGATTTTGCTGGACGCACTAAGAAGAAATGGAATTGTTGATAGAATAATCATTGACTTTAAGAAAAATGATAAGCTGTTTGTGCATGGCTTGTATAGGCATTGTAACTAGGAGGTATATAGGGTTAAATGGATGGAGAAAATGAAAAAAGTTTTTAAATCAGGACATTAAATACCAAACACAATTTTGGAAGAGTGTGGAGTACTAGGAACGTCAACTCAAACATAATATCTCACTGGTACGTCCCAGATTTTGCTGATGATCCCAATATCAGTGTGAGTACGTTGCAGTTTAGGGTAAAAAATGAGCATAAGTTGACAATCTCCATAACTCAGGCCTGGAATGCAAAGAGAAAAGCTTTGGAAAAAATCCGGGGAAAGATTACAGAACAGTATGCTAAATTAAAAAGCTACATGGCTGAAATTAAAAGGTCTAATGCTGGGACATCCATTGAAGTGATATACGAAGATGATGAACCTGATAGGTTAAAAAGGTTATCCTTGTGTTACGCAGGCTGCAAGAAAGGGTTCAAGGAAGGATGTTTTAAAGATTATTGGGGTTGATGGCACATTTTTGAAGACACAATTTGAGGGAATCCTCCTAACTGGAGTTAGATTCGACGCAACTAGCAACATTTATACGATAGCATTTGCAGTATTTGAGAGTGAAAGCCACGGCAGTTGGGGCGGGTTTTTGAGTTGGCTGATAAAAGATTTAGAGATCATAAACACTACGGATTGGGTTATTATTTCCGACAGGCAGAAGGTAACTTGTTCTTACTATTTTCCTTTTGTAACTAGTAGTACCAATCTATTCTAACTAGTTTTGTTTTGTTTTTTTTTTTTGTTTTTTGAACTGGTAGTAACAACCTTTTCAAGTGTTTTTTTTTTCTAAAATTGGTAGTAGCAACCTATTTTTATGATTTGTTTGTAGGGCCTAATTCCAGCTGTGAATTATACACTGGAAAATGTATCGCATAGGTTTTGTGTGCAACATATGTGGAACAACTTTAAAAATGAGTTTCGAGAGTCATAATGAAGCAGAAAGTGTTTAGCGTAGCTAAGGTCACTACTCCAGAACTTTCTCAAAATAGATGGATGAACTTGGGGTGGAAAATGAAGGGGCATGGAATGGCTATGTAAAGAACACCCTCATCACTGGTGCAGGGCATTCTTTGAGTTTGTTGCCAAGTGTGATATGCTTGTTAACAACATTTGTGAGGGGTTTAATAAAGTAATACTTAGTACTAGAAATCTTTCAATCAGAGGTATGCTTGAGTGGCTTAGAATGTATTTGATGAAGAGAGATTAAAGGAAGAGAGAATGGATTCAGAAGACTAATTTTTTGGTTGCTCCGAAGATTATTGCCAGATTAGAGATGTACAAGGAGAAGGCTGCAAATTTTAGTTGCGATTATGTTGGTAATGGGGAATATGAAGTCAAGAATGCCTATGAACAGTATGTTGTAAGCTTGAAGGATTGGACTTGTGTATGCAGAAAATGGGAATGAATAGGTCTCCCATGTTCTCATGCAATCTGTTTCATTTGGGAATCAAACAGAAAAATTGCGCATTATGTGGATAAGTATCAGTCCAATGAGCTGTATTTGAATGCCTAAGAACCTGTTATAAGACTTGTAAATATGCCTCTATTTAGACCGAAACCTAAAAAGGCACCAATCATGCCTCCATATTTTAGAGTTTACCCTGGTAGAGCAAAGAATAGTAGGAACAAGCCCTCTATTGACGTTCCTCTTAATACGAACAAGAAAGGCTCCTTGAAAGCGAGTAGGAAGGTCGGTCTATGAAAGAATAAGTGTGGTTACTGTCGTGGCTCACACAGTAAGAGAACTTGTCCTGAGTTGAAAGAAGCTAGAGATGTAGGAATTAAGCTGTCTACTATCCCGACAATGGTATAAAATTATTGAAACCCTAATATTCATTTTTCCCATTTGTCTTTTTTTTTTAATTTCCAGTTTGTGTCATTTGTAATATATGGCTAGTTAACTCGGGTTCTATGTTTTAAGCCTAGGGGAATCCTCCTAAACCAAAAAAGATGGGTAGGCCTCCAAAGCTTAGGAACAACTCCAACACATTTGAGGAAAATAGTAACCTCCCCAAGAGAAGGGGCAGAAAACCAACTTCAAAATCTGTGTGTAAAAATTGCAAACTGATGGAATATTTTGCATCAACATGTCAGCATTAGTAAGGCGGAGTGAGATGGTGAAGGCAATTGAAGAACGACAGGTAAAAATTTTATAGTAGTTTCATTGCCTAAATAATTGTGTTTTTTCTTAAAGAAATTTGTTTTTTTTTTTTGTATGTAACTAGCTTCGGGCATTGAGTGAAGTAGCTATGAATTTAACTCGGACTAACGGAATAGAACAGCAGGAGATAGTGGTCTCCCAACGTGCTGGTTGTGATTTAACTACTCATACTGTTGAAACACATCCAATCTTAAAACTTTCAATGTCTTTGGAAGAGGAACACCTTTGTAAAAATGATAATGGTGATAATGCTGAGTTGGAAGAGGTACATGCAGTGATATTTACATTGTTTTTTTATATTCATTGTTGATATTAAGAAAAGATATTTACATTCTTTCTTCAAGGCGATAAGCACACTTAATGCACGTTCTGAAAGTCAGGAAGGGATGATATTGATTACGATAATACACCTTTTTGTAACTGGCACTGAGATTATGGTATCGATGATTGTCCCCAAAATTTTGTAAAATGTGATTACTGTGCTCAGTTTGGTCAGACCAAAGAGGAATGCCCAGAATACGAGGTAAGGTTTTGGTGATTGTATATGATTGTAATTGTATATTAGTTGTATATTGATTTTCATGATCATATTTGAGCTTATATAAGTTTTGGTTAAATGTAGCTGGATATTCAAAGGGAATAAAGGTTGCGGAAAGTACAGAGGTTTTCACTACAACTTTAGATGAAATCGTTAACACCCCTGGTGCACCAAACGTTAGAGATGAATATAGCTGGATATTCAAAGGGGTGTAAAAGGCATTATTACAATTTCTCCTTCCTGGTCGCTTATTTTTGTGGTTTTGATGTAGGAAACTGAAATTTTAAAAGAGACTCCAAATGTTGCTGAAAACATGAAGGCAAATGCTGCTAGTATTAGCCAGGTGAGCCTTTGTTGAAAACTTGAAGCGGCAATGCTTGTATCTAAATTGCATGTTTATTTGCAAACTAAGTTCTGGTGATGCATGTGTGGTTAATGTGTTGTAAATTTTGGACTTTATAGGTGAAACAAATACTCAAGTCTTTAACACCAGACAAGTCCACACCTGCGAAAACAAAATTTAGAGCTGAAAATGAAGGGACAATTCTGGGGGATGATAATAAGATAAAGAAGGCATCAAAACTGTTTTTGGCTCAAATCGAAAATGAACTTCCACTTCGTAGTAATCATATGTGGGTTTACAGTGTTTAGGCAATAGATATTTTGTGGTAATATTTTGGGAAGTTTGTATTTTGTACATGGAACTTGTAGTGATCCAGCCCATGTTTATCTAGACACTACTATATTTTGGGTGTATTATGTTTGGTGCTTTCTAAACAACTGTCGTTATCTTTGAATCCGGTTATCGTATTTAAAGGTGTTCATCTGTCTTACTTGTCTTGTTGAAATTATTTGACATTGTCATACCCTTAAATGTAATCATATTTATGTGTAGTAAATTCATGTGCTAAAAGTAATGGTATGTACAAAAAGAAAATAAAAATGATGCAAATTAAGCATAAGCATAGATTATTAATAATAAAAACTAAGAAAAACAAGTATTGTTACTATTTAGGTCTTATAAAATAAAAGAAACTCCTCAAAACAAAATAAATAGAGATTAACACGGGTTCAAGATCTTACAGAACAAGGGATTTTAACCTTGCAAAACTAGTCCATCTATCTAGGGATCTTACATAAAAAGGAATTTCTTATTCCACTGGTTCTATCTAGTGCAACCATTTTTCAAAAAGAACTAGAATTGACGATGGTTCTATCTAGTGCAACTATTTATTTTTTTTAAAAAAAAGAAGTAAAACCAATGCAATTGAAACTTGGCCATCTACGACTAACACAGTACAACCAGCACAAGGAGAAAAATCATGACATTAACAATAAACCCTGCAATTAATTCAAACAGTATCGAATCCATGTTTTGATTTGCACTTGCAGCGTTCAAACTTTGGTTTCTTCCCAACAATTTCGTACTTTCCAGATACAAATTCTTGATTTATCTATTCAATCCCATCCTCTTTTTGTAATCTGCTCAATCCCATCTCCTGATTCACAGGTTACAAAATTTCTTCAGCGCATCCCTTGTGAAGTCGACCCAGAATCGGTGTTGGTGTGATCAAAAATTTTCAAAAATCCATAATTTAGACATCTATAATAGAGACGCCTTGAATTATCATTAGATGCCGACGGAATGAGAATGGTTTTCCTCCGACTTTTGCCACAAGTTAAATTCTCTATCACCATTTCTCCAAAAGAGACTGTTTGATTGTGATTAGCCATAGTCAGCTGGATCTACTTTCAATGGTCAACGATTTGCAGCATAAAGGATGGAGAGAATACTGCTGTCCGGTGTTGATAATTCCTCCTTCTGCTTCACAATTTCGCATGTCGACGATTCGCTCCTTCTGCTTCACAATTTAACGATTTTAGATTTTATTTTTTTTCTGAATGGTTCACGATTAGAAATTGAGAATTGTTAATATATAGACTAGTAAAAATTACTCATAATAAATAGCAAAATTGGTAAATGTAAATAAAACCTACATCCATAGTAAAAATCTATAGTTCAATGTCTGAATTCGTGTGCCTTGCACGTGCCCATTGGAGTACAAAATGACAATATTGGACCTCCAAACACGCGCGTGCAAGTCAGGCCTCCTTTACTTTTTTGACGGGGAAAGGGCAGAAAAGTAGAAAAGCACAGAAATGCAACTTTTGATGAGACCTAAATTATTTTTGAACTTATGATAGTGAACGAATATAGCAGGCAAAATTATGGTATTTTATGGATTAATTTAGTATAAAGGCCGGACCAGAGAAAGAAAAAAAAAAAAGAAAATCCCACAAAGTGAAGCCATTATTTTAATTACTGCATAACTTGAAAAACACAAAAGAAGAAAACACTGGAAGATTGATAGAAAAAGTGAAGTGATCATAAATTCTAACATATAATGATACATACATGGAAAAATGATAAGGAAAAATGACAAGGAATTGATCATGGTCATTCTTTTTTAATACTTTTCTATTGAGGTTTAAGAATTTAATGTTAAGGTATAATTTAGATGATTTATAAATAATTAATTGTAAGATTTCCTTGTAATTTTTCCTGTATACATCACTACTCTTTATTTTATACCATAGCAATTATACCTTTGACACGACAGGGCAGAAATTATTTGAAGAATATGATTTCAAATTGGACTACTAGGCATATGGTTTGATTAATTTAGAGGGAGGAGGGGGGAACACGTGGTTGCCCAAGTGATTGTGGACATGGCATCAAAACCTTGAGGTCCTAACAGGTCTCAGGTTCAAATCTCGCCAGGAGTACTTTATGTGCTATCTATGCAGGTTTGCAGTCAGGAGGCCAGAGGCAGTCTCGGAGGTCAGCTTGCAGCCCAGGAGGACGCGTAACAGAGGCATACACGCGTGGAGTGAATCCCTAATAGTATTATTCGCTTCCTCCAGTATACCTCACAAATGTAATAGCCTATGTTACCTATAATAGTATATAAAAAAAAATAAGGGGGCACTCAAGTTTTCCATCAAATATTAAAATCATCTTTTCCATTAATAAATAAATAAATCTACTACCTTCTAGATGGATTAAATGGACAAAACACATTTTTGGTCCCTAAACTTTAGGGGGTCACAACTTCGAGCGCCATTAATTTTCGACTGACGAAATTGGTAACCGTCAACTCTTTTCTCTGTTAAATTTTTTATTTTTATGATTTTTTTACTGTACTAGGACCCGCAATGTATTTTCAAACAACAAAATCAGTCTCCTACTATCTTTTTTGCCAATAATTTTAGTCACTTTAACAGAATTTTCAAAAACATAATGGCCAATTCATTTTTCCTTTAAATCTTTATTTCTTTTATTGATAACTTAATAGATTGTGGGTCCCATGAGTCTTTGATCAGTTCTTTTAAAATGAAACAAATTAAAGAAATAATAAAAGTATTTTCGGCCAACTTCCTAAACTCTAAATATTCTGCTCCCCGACGTCTCACCATCACCTCCCCGTCGGTAAAGTATCCCAGAAAAAGAAAGAGATGATGAAAGAGGTGACTCAAACAAAGAGGATTGGTAATTTAATTGGATTATCCGATAAATAAATTCTAAAAAAAAAATAAAAACCCAACAACGAAAACGATCTATAATGAAGCTCCTTTCCTGGCCTACTTTGTTAGCGGGGAGCTGATGGTGAGACGCCGGGGAGCAGAATATTGGGGTTTAAGAAGTTAGTCGGAAATAGTTTCACTATTCCTTTAATTTGTTTTCTTTTTTCTTTTAATAAAATTCTAATCAAAGATTTGTGAGACCCACAATCCGTTAAGAAATTAATAAAAAAATAAAGATTTAACGGAAAAATGAATTGGGACATTAAGTTTTTCAAAATTCTGTTTAAGTGACTAAAATTGTTTTAAAAAAATATATTAGGGGACTGATTTTGTTGTTTGAAAATACATTGCGGGTCCTAATTTAATAAAAAATTAATAAAAATTAAAAAATTTAACGGAGAAAAGAGTTGACCTTTAATTGACCATAAATTTCCGTTAAAATGACTAAAATTGGTGGAATAAACAAAAAGACGGTGACCAATTTCGTTAATCGAAAATTAATGATAACTTGAAGTTGTGATCTCCGAAGTTTAAGAATCAAAAGTACGTTTTGTCTGAACTAAATTACTCCTAAAATCCATTAATAAATAAATAAATCAACTACCTTGTAGATTGACTAAATTACTCCTGACATTCAATACGTGGATTCCATCAAATCCAAGGTTTAATTACTTTCTTCAGCATTCAACTTCACGCAGTGTAGAAGATGAACTTCCATGTGTTCTACGATTCTTGATGACATCAAGGATTGAAGATAAAATGCTCGGACCTTTAGATTCAGATATTTTATCGGATAAATGTTCAAAAATTCATATGCTTGGGCTTTGGTCCGGTTTGGCAAAACCTCGGATGTAGAAACTCTTCGGAATGACACAACTCCCTCGATTTTTTCTGATTAAATGTGGCACTGGGCTTTTCACTGTATTTTAATTTTTTTTTAAAAAAAATAAAAATTCACTCCAGTAGACCCTACTTAAATATAGATAAAACTCGTTGGATTTTAATGAAGTTAAAAAAAAATAATTTATTTCAAAAGGAAGAAAGAAAGGAACCAAAAAAAAAAGCAATTTGATGAATCTTCGTAGTCAATAGTATCAGTAGTTCAACAATTGGACAGAGAGAAAAGAAAATTGATAGAATAGTTGCTGGAATTGGAGATTCCATTCCAAAGGCCTCAAGTGAGAAGTAATTATATCCGGATGAAGTATGATATATTGCAAATGAGAAATTATTCATGTCAATCAACAAACTGCTCCGTACATAAATTCTATGGTTGATTCTAGGGGATAGAGTTTGAAAATAAAACAGATTCTCAGTACATTACATGCACTGCAAAAGCACAAAATAACAACATAACAATAAATATAAAAGAAATGGTTCCATCTAGAGGCTTGACAAAAGAATAAGAAAACCAAAGAATATTGCAGCAACAACTAGAAAACAGACAATGCAATCCCCATTGAGACAAAAAGAATTCCCAAATCAAAATACATAATGGCTAACGTATAATCTTATTACAGTAACAAGCACAAGTAAAAGTAGAAGACTTATATATATATATATATATATAATGTGGCAGAACGGACTAATTACAAACTACCGCTCCTTAGGTAAGGAGTGCCTGATCTATCTAACAAAAGGGCGGTTTGTACCGCGTCGGTGGGTTGTGCCAAAATATGTAACCCACCCAACTGATGTAGACCTTTCTTTGCCAACAGATCCGCTACACTGTTACATTCCCTAAGTACATGACTAAATTCCATGCACCAGTTGCATTTAAGTAGGGATCTAATTCTACGCAGCAGGTTAGACTGGAGTAGTTCATCTTCAATATTCAGCAGTAGAGACATAGCCTCAAAAGAATCTACCTCTACTATTATATGAGGGAAGCCAAAAGAAGCAGCACAATTCAAGCCATAGAACAACCCCCATAGCTCCGCCTCTGCCAGTTGCCAGAGCTATCCCGGAATACTCCTCCAGCCACTGCAGAGCAAAGAAGAGGATCAATTGCCCCGTCCATGTTTATCTTAATGCTGCCCACAGGCGGGGGTTTCCAAGACAAAAACAAAGTGTTCATTGGTAATCCAATCGTCCTCCTTTTGAAATCCTCATTAGTCCAGGCTATTTCCTTTACTGCAGCTCTTATAATCAACAACAGCTCTCTTTTTTTAACAGCAGCTGCATCAAAACTTTTCTCATTGCGACCAGTCCAAATTTTCCAACAAGCAGTAGCAAACCACATCTTCCAAGGAAAGCCAACCTGCAAGGTAGAAGACAATAAGTTAGATAAAATCCATGATTGGAGGTCTAACTCCTCCCAAAAACTTGCTTCCAGTGAAGGATTAATCGATTGCCAAATCCATTTGCTGCGAGTACAGTCATGAAAGACGTGAAGCTTCGTCTCCAGAACCCCACAAATGTGACAACTCCCATCCTCGGTCATGTGTCGCCGACATCTCTCTGCATTAACCAGCAAAGCTTTTCTGAAAAGCCATAAGAACATTTTAATCTTCTCCGGACCCTGCCATTTCCACACTGCTTCCCACTTCCTCTCTTTGCAACTCCACCTACCAGCATACAGGGCCTGAAAGGCAGAGGCTGTAGTACATCTACCAGAGGCAGTCGAGCTCCACACAACTCTATCTTCCCCCATAGCATTTTGTGGAGGAGGAACAACCATTATATATTTGATGACTTCCTAAGGCAAGCAGTGTGATATCTCAAGCCATCTCCAGTTGCCGTTTTCATCTACAAATTCACTTAACTTCTTACTTTTTTCTGCATCTGGCACAAGATATAGTGCTCTACTAATCAAGGGGGCATTCATAGATGTCCAATTATCCAACCAAAAACAAGTTCTCCTACCATTGCCCACCGACCAGTTCACATTCCTCAAGGCTGTCTCCCACACTTCCACTATATGTTTCCACAAGTGGGAAGAATTTCTTCTTTTGATGCATCTAGGTAAAACGTCCCCTAAGATCCCATACTTGGCTCTTAAGATATTGCTCCAGAGATTGCCTTCATCAACTATAATACCCCAAGCCAGTTTAAGAATTAGTGCATTCTTTGCCTCTCTTAATTTACGAAATCCCAGACCTCCCCGATCTTTCGGTTGACAGACACCATCCCAGCCAACCAGACTAATTCTCCTTTCATTTTCTTTCCTACCCCACAAAAATCTTCGCCTCACTTTATCGATCCCGTTACAAGTTCCGACCGGAAGATCTGTAGACTGCATCCCGTAATTAGGTATAGAAGCTAAGACTGATTGACATAATGTCGCTCTCCTAGCCAAAGAGACCTTTCGGGGATTCCACTTTGAGGCTCTACTCTGAACTTTCATCACTATTTCATTATAGAGCTCCTTGGTAACTCTATTATGAATTATTGGAACTCCCAGATATTTATCTAAGTTATCAACCAACTGTACTCCCAGCATACGACTGATTCCAGCTGCCACATCACATCCTATGTTAGGAGAGACATAGACAACAGATTTATCATGACTGATAGTCTGCCCTGAAGAGTCGCAAAAAGCTGAAACTACCCGTTGTATGACTTGAACTTGCTCTAGCGAAGCCTCCGCAAAGAGAATGAGATCATCGACAAAGAAAAGGTGGGATAGAGTTTCCCGACCCCGATCAAACCTCATCGGTTTCCAATTCCCAGCAATCACTTCCAAATTGATAGCATGCGACAATCTCTCCATACAGAGCATGAAGATGTAGGGGGACACGGGATCCCCTTGCCTCACCCCTCTTGTAGGACGAAACGCCTCACCAACCAGACCATTCCATAGAATCTGAGTTGATTCCGTAGTCAATGTGCTCATAATAATTCTACTCATGCTGGATGGTATTCCGGCATCCTCCAAAGTATCACGGATAAAGCCCCACTTGATACGATCATATGCTTTAACTAGATCAATTTTAATCGGCATCAGACCTCTCTTGCCCTTTAAAGTACGCATGGAGTGGATTGCTTCTTGTGCTATCACAATGTTATCAATGATGTTACGTCCCGTAACAAAGCTGGACTATGTAGGTAGAGTGATCAGAGGCATTATAACCTTCAACCTGTTAGCGATCACTTTTGGGATTAGCTTCATGTTGACATTAATCAAGCTTATTGGTCTAAAATGTTGAAATCTTTCCGGCCGACCAATTTTTGGAATGAGGGTGACTAAAGCTTCGTTAATCCCCGGATCCACCCTCCCCTCTTCAAAGGCTTCTGACACCATCTTGATCACTGTTTGTCCTACTATTTCCCAATTGTGTTGGTAAAATTTTGCATTAAACCCGTCCAACCCTGCAGCTTTGAAAGGATGCATCTCAAATAGGGTTGTCTTCACTTCCTTTGGTTGAATCTCTCGTTTAAGAAGAGTCACATACCGTTCTTCTAACCGGGGAAAATAACCCCTATTCTGATATGGAACTATCTGGTCCCGGCCCTCCGCATAAATTTCTTCAAAATACTTGGTTGCTTCAGCGCACAGCTTGCGAGGATCTGAACACCATGAACCATCTTCAAGTTGTATTTTCTGGATATTTCGCCTAATCCGTTTTTCTTTATGAACCGCGTGGAATACCCTTGAGTTCTTATCTCCTTGTGCGAACCAAATTGAGTGAGCATTTTGAGCTTTAATTAGTTCTTCCTGAATGATGATCCGCTCATATTCTTCTCTTAGCTCCTCTTCCAGATTTAAAAGATACTGCAAAAAGCGCACAGCTTGCGAGGATCTGAACACCATGAACCATCTTCAAGTTGTATTTTCTGGATATTTCTCCTAATCCGTTTTTCTTTATGAACCGCGTGGAATACCCTTGAGTTCTTATCTCCTTGTGCCAACCAAATTGAGTGAGCATTCTGAGCTTTAATTAGTTCTTCCTGAGTGATGATCCGCTCATATTCTTCTCTTAGCTCCTCTTCCAGATTTAAAAGATACTGCAAAAAGCGAAAGGGTAGCACCTTCTGAATTCCTTCTAATCAAGCAAGCACCCTATTCTTCCTTTTATTCAAGTCTCCAAAGAAGTTATACTTCCAGTCATTGATCTTGCATACCAAGTTCTGTAAAGCCAAAATGAGCGGTTCATTAACACACCAGTTCTTCCTCAGCCATTGTAGCCATGATTTGTGTGATTCCCAAGCTGCGAGATATCTAAAACTCTTACGATTTGGGATCACATCAACTCCTACTTTCATTCTTATCAATAAAGGAGAGTGGTCCGAGGCCACCCTTGTTAGATGCTTCACAAGCGTGTCACTAAATGTCGCAATCCACTCGTCATTAGCCAACACCCTATCCAGGCGTTCATGACACTGCTTCTTGCCCAAGTGAATCTCTGTCCCAAGTACCCCAAATCAGTCATTTCTGAATTTTTAATCCACTCCTTAAACCACTTACACCCTTTGGATTTTTTTCCACCAATTTTATCGCTTTCCTCATTAAATGCATTGAAATCTCCAAACACCAACCAAGGGTCTTGAATTTCAGCTGCTAAATCCTCTAGTTTCATCCACAATTGCCGTCTGATAACCGGTTGTGGGCTACCATATACAGAAGTGAAAACTGCAAATATGTTGTTAGGAAAAGTAACTTTGAAAATGATAAATTGCCAATCATTTGCAATTATTCTAATAGACAGTGTATCATTCCATAAAATCCATATTCCCCCAGAAAAGCCTACGGCTTCAACCCGATGGGAGTTTTTCATTCCAATTTTCTTGATTGTCTTTTCAGCAATCGTACCACTAACTTTAGTTTAAAAAAGAACAACAATTGATAAATTGTGTTTTCTGACTAAAGATTTAATTTCCGCAATAGTTGATGGGCTAGAAGCCCCTTAACAATTCCAGGATAATACTTTATAATCCATAAAAACAGTAGACAAAGGTTTAAGGGACTTACCTGTGGGCTTAAAGGAGTCCACTTCCGTCACCGTCAGCTAGCAACACTCCCTCCATATCGGAAGGCCGCTCATCCGTATCTTGGGGCTCTAACGTCTCCACCATCATGTCTGAGTATTCCATGAGATGGACGTTCGGAGCCTTCGAATTTACTTTTATTCTAAGTGTGGACTTTACAGGGAAAGCTTTGGATAAATTTGGAGGAATTGCCGCAACTTCCACCGGGTGGGGAGTTTGATCATTATTCTGTAAGCTTCTCCCTTTAGTGATTGGATTAATTTTGGGGTTAGGATGGGGTAATTTGGCCACTGTGTGTGTGCCTTTCTCTCCATCAGAGATGTTCTTCGACGATTCGGTCGTTAATTCCGATTGTGTACCTTCTATATTGACAACCACATTAACCGTAGATGACTCTGGCTTTTGCATAATAGTCTTGCCGACAGGCTTAGAAGCTTGGGCCTTTTGGGCCACAGGAGGGTTTTCCACAGTAGGTTTATCCACCATTACGGCCTGACCCTTAGAAGAATCTTTTTTTGGACCCCAAGAAGATTTATCAATATTATCATTTTTTCTTTTGCTCCCCGTTGATGACCCGTTTGTGTTCGGAGTTTTCCCTGATCCAAGCCCTGCTTCAAAACCTTTGGGCCCAGATGAAGCCATTAGAGCCACCCCTTCATCCTGATCAACCATGTTCAAAGCTTCAAAGGGGTTCCTCACAAAGGTTTTGTCCTTAGCACCAGCCTCTTTTTTCCTGTCAGAGGCCGTTGAAGATTGTCTCGGTGGTTCCCTCCAAGAGCGCCTTGGAGCTTGCATCCAATCACCCACTCCTTCTGGTCATTGATTCTGAACCATCGCCGTTGCAGAAAGGTTAGCTACCTGGTCCGGCTTCGTTACCTGCAAATTCACCTGGTCCCCTACTTGAGTAGCGCCCGTTTCTGCCCCAGCTGAATTCGCCACCGTATGCACCGGGAAAGTAGGACACGACTCTGACTTATGACCATACATCCCATAGGCGAAGCATATCAATGGTAAATCCTGATATTCGATCTTATACGAGGCTCCATCCACCCCAACCATTCCCTTTAGCCGCTCCACCAAATCCAATTGGATGGCAATCCGAGCATATTTCCCTCTAGTACCGGTTAAGGTGATCTCATCCGCTTTAATGTACGAACCAATAGATTTTACCACGTTCCTAAGAATAGCTTCATGAAAGTACTGTAGAGGTATTTCTTGAATTCTGATCCACGCCGCAACTGCTGTCAAATTATCAGATTTAGCGTCGAACTTCGGCGTCCAAGGATATACCCTCAGATAGCAGATAGCACCCATCGTCCATGGCCCATTAAGGAGGACATAATTACAATCTTCCTCAAGGCTTAATCGGATCACATAGTGACCGTGAACTTGATCGGTCACTTTAAATTCCCCCTTAAGATTCCAAATTTTATCCAATCTGCCTATGAGAGCTCCGTAAGTCACCGTCCAGCCGAGAGGGCTGACCACAATAGAGTATCCCATTGATTTCTTCATTCGTTGATGAATTGGATCAAGGAACATCACTGAACCAATCCCATCTTTCTCACTGTGGATAACTTCATCCTCATTAACGTGAGCTGGTTCCCTTCCTGGGACTTTCACCTTACCACTACCTTGAGAGTTCAGAACAGCAGCCTTAAAGGAGAACAGCTCCGATCTAATTTCGAAAGTTTCCTCCCTGTTCTTAACCTTCTTAGTGGCCGGGTTCTCCTCAGTCAACCCAGATTGAGCATGTTCATCCATATTCGTATCCATTTGGACTGGAGAAGATCAGACAACTTTGAGAAAAGCTAGAGAGAATACAAAGCTTATCCCAGAGAGCTGTGTTGCAGTTACAGGTACTCTTTTTAAAAGTAGAAGACATTAGGCCATCCAATTCCTCATAAACTACTGGATCAGTAGGTCTTTCATTGCTGCTTCTCCTACATACCCTGATACTAAGATAAAAGTTTAAGTAACCCATATCCGATACTAAGATTAAGGTTTCAGTATCGTGTCCGTACCTTAGGATCTATGTCTATGATAATATGATCAATACAAAATCTGGATATGTACCATTCCTCAATACTCAATATTCCATAATGGTTGATACATGCATTCTTTTGCGTTGGTAGACCTCTTGATTAGAAAGCATTTCCCCACACTTAAACAACATCGCTTAACGGGTCGAAATCTTTTTGACATCACATATTTCAAGCAAAAAAAGGTTTGGGGAATGATGTCCTCTTCCCAACAACATACACTAGCAACTTAAAAACAAGAGTTGCTGATAATACGTTCATGAGCAGACTTCAGAGATAATAAAAAACAAAAGAAGCTGACAAAAAATAAAATTAGAAGTTGCATCAAATACTTCATGACAGCCGAAAAAGAGTCTGGTCCGCGACCCTAAAATATCAGCTCCCCTCTACTAAACCGTGATCGACGAAAGTTGTAGGTCTCCACACAGCTTTTCACATCTTTCTCACCACCTAACTTGTCCATCCACCCATCAGATCCTACCAGGTACACTGAAAACAGCAAAAGAAAACAAAAAAACATATGCACTCAACCACCAGAGGGATAAATTAGATGCCCATAATTACGTTCAAGTACAAGTAAAGGGTAAGGATAAAGAAGCAATCGAAAGAGAGAAACATACCACTCACAAAATCTTCACCATTAGTAGCAGAAAGGTCACAGCCCTGATCGTCTCGATCTTTCCTAGTCCGATGAGCAACATGTACGATCGACTTAGCAACCAGTTCAATCTCCCAAGAGGAATATCCACCATATTTCTCCATATTACTATAGGCCCATTCGAATCCAGATCCAGAGGCAAAACTCTGCCCTTTAATCACCACCCCCATGCCATCCACACGATACAATTCAGGAGCACTTGTTGTATAATCCCACCCAGCTATCAGACCCACCAATTCAAAGTGACCAGATAGCACCTCCGCCATAAACTGTGATGCCAAAGCAACAGAAATTCGGCTTCCCTCACCTTGTTCACGTAGGTGGCACAAGGACACAAATATAGATAATAAAACTTACAGCCACAAGCACATGAGAGAAAAGATGTATCGAAATCCTTTTCATCATCTTGTTGTAAAGTCAGGATGTAGATGACATATTTTTTTGGGAGAGATCATTTTAAGAAAAATTTACAAGGAAAGATTAACAATTTATACCTTGATTTTCAGATCTTTAAGCAGTGATTCGCTGTCCGCGAGCTTTCCAGAAATAGTAGCAAGCATGTGCGAGTTGAGATCAATTAAGTTCTGGGGAAGCTCAGACTCCCTCGAATCAGAAAACTAAGAACTCATTGACCCAAACAACTCAGAGGACGATCCTGATCCAAAATGTAATACACATTGTTTGTCATTTAAAAGCTAGTGGCTAAAATGTACCAAATAAATCAAGAAATGTACCAATAAACACCCCGCTCACCTCATCTACCTAGTTTCTTTTTATGGTTGATTTTTTCCTCCCGATGATGTTATCTATTTTCGTTGCAAATCTTAAAACGTAGTTTACAAATTATGCGGACAAGACAAATTATAACGAAAAAAATAGAGCAACAGGTGACTATGTAAATATTCAAAAAACAAACCTGATTTACAATCGTCATCCTTGGCAGATCGTGGATGATTAAGAGCTAAGACAACTCCTCCATTGAAATAAAAAGCAAAAGAAGGTGGGCCCCCTTCATCAAGGGGTTCATCAGGGTGACTGACCCAGACACATTTCAAGCCAGCTCGCAATTGATCTTCTCGAATGGATTCAGGATTAACGACCTCAGCGCCCTCTCCCATGTGAGGCTGATAATACGGATGCCATTTCACAACGTCACCTGGGCAGCGGGCCCGTCGCAAGCCAGGGTCGTTCACTGATATCGTCGGTGTCATCCGTCTCATCATAATCCCACTTAATGGAAGCAAAACAAATAAAAAAATCAGTCAAAATAAGAGGATTAAAACAGAGAATTGATAGAAATTAAATTTAAAAAATTACAAAACAGCGAACTAATTGATAGAGCCGTTGTGGGCCAATTGAGAAGCATCAGGGTATTCTTATTGGGTATCCATATCGTAATGGAATTCAGAATCCGTATCGCTCATCTACGAATCCATATTCATTGCATAAGCTCCAAATTCCTTAACAGTGATATTTAGATCCCGTATTTTGCTTCAGCATCCTTTAAGAGTTCTTCCAATCTGCGGTCATCCATATTGTATCTCTTTTCACTGAAGGCGTAGATCTAGACAAGGTGTTAGAGAAGAAGGCTGGTGAGAAAATAGTTCCACATGTTGGACCCCTCCAATCTAAATGTCACCGGCCCTCTTTCTCCACACAAGAAGACCCGGGACAACCAAACACCTTAATCCGGGAAAAGCACACAGCAACACCCGGCAATCAGAGTGCCCGGAACAAGCAACCAGCTTGACCGAGAAACGTAGCAAATTCAGGGCAGGCAACCGGCTTTACCGAAAAAAGCAGCAAGGTCCCGGCACAAGCACTCAGCTAACCGAGAAATGCAGCAAAACTCGGGTAAGCAAGCACCTTACCGAGGAATGCAGGGAAACGTTAACCGGCAACCGAACGGGACCGAGAAAACTCGGTAAACTCGGGACAGCCCTGCTACCCGAGAAAACCAGGGACGTAACCGAGAAAACTAGGGACAAGGCAGAAACAGAAATAAAAAGGACTCGAGAAATACAAGCCGAAACCCGGCTCAACCTTCTATTATTACTCAAACACAAGGAAAGGCTCTTAAACTCAAGAAGGCTTACAACTCCACTCTCTATGCCTTCAAATGAGCCAAGGCCCCCTATTTATACAAGAATGGGGAGGGAATACCCTTACATGCATTACAACAAATGACCTACATGCATTGGTCTATAAAGCTACAACATGCATTGGCACATCTTGGCAGGAACTCTAACATGCAAGCCTACACCTTGGCTGACATGCATTTGTCCACAGTGTACCAAACGAGTCCACCAAACGGGTCCCGCGGTTCTAGAAGCTCCCAGCTACTTCCGGCAAACCTCGTCTCCGGGTTGCACCCAAGGGCCGTGCTGCAATGTTGTTTATCTCAGCTCGGGTTCCCACTTAACCGTCTCGCATGATTATCCCGCACAAGGGCCGTTGCACTACTCAAGTGCCTTGGGCAGGAACTCACATCCGCATTCCCGCATAAGGGCCGTTGCACTACTCAAGTGCCTTGGGCAGGAACTCACATCCGCCCGTCTGCACGCCCGGCCTCAGCCTCGAAGGCGTGTGTTACCGAGAAAAATTTTTAAGGGGCTAACAGACCTCCCCCACTTGAGAGGTTGACGCCCTCGTCAACTGCTTGGCCCGGTCCCAATACTCGGCAATTTCTTTCTCAAACTGCCACAAGCCGTTCTCATTGACCCACTCGGCATCGGCTGGAGACTCGTCCTTCCAATGCACTAGGAACCGTGTCCTTCTCACCTTCTTGCTCTGCCCGATCGTCTCATGATCAAGGACTTTGTGGATTTTCTTCTCAAATTGTTTCCTCATAACCGGGGGTGCCCTCTTTGCTTGCACCCGTTCTTCCCCTGTCTCATCGGCATTATATTGTTTGAGGAAACTAACATGAAAAGTCGGGTGTACCTTCAACCGTGGCGGCAGCTTCAACCGGTAAGCCACGTTCCCCACCCGTTTCATCACTTCAAACGGGCCATCGTACTTAGGCACCAGCCCTCGATGCACCGTTTTGCTGGAAATCTTCTTCCAAATCTGTGGAGTTAACTTGAGCATCACCAAGTCCCCCACCTTGAACTCAACATGTCGTCTATGCCGATCAGCATACCGTTTCATCTTTTGCTGGGCAATGGCTAGGCTATCTCGTGCCTCTTCAAGCATCTCTTGCTTCACCCTTGCAAACCGGTGTACTGCAGGACAAGAACCGGCAACGGCCTTCACTGCTACCTCATGGGGCGTCATCGGCTGCTCCCCGTTCACCAACTCAAACGGGCTCAACTTCGTGGCCGACGACCTGTGAAGGTTATAGCAGAATTGGGCAACATCAAGTAAATCAGGCCAATTCTTTTGACTTGCCGTGACATAATGCCGTAGGTACTCCTCCAAAATGGCATTCACTCGCTCTGTTTGGCTGTCCGTCTGTGGATGATTGGCCATTGAAAACTTCAACTACATGCCCATGGCATTGAAAAACTGTGTCCAAAACCGGCCCGTGAAACGGGCATCCCGGTCGCTGACTATATCCTTAGGTAGGCCGAAATACTTCACTACGTTCTTGAAGAATAACTCGGCAGCAATGTCAGCAGAACAAGCAGCTGGGGCAGCAATAAACACGGCATATTTAGAAAAACAGTCAACAACAACAAGGATAGAAGCCAAACCGTTGATCTTAGGGAAGCCGCTGATGAAATCAAGGGACACCGACTGCCACGGTCTCACCGGTATAGGCAACGGTTGCAGCAATCCCGCTTCTTTCTTCCTCTCCTTCTTGTCTTGTTGGCACACCAGGCAAGACTTCACATAGGCTTCTATGTCGTTCTCCATCTTCGGCCAGAAATAATGCCGGGACAGTAACACATGCATTCTCTCAATCCCCGGGTGACCAGCCCATTCGGGGTCGTGCGTCTCGCGCAACAATCTCCGTCTCAGGTTACCGCCCGCTGGAACATAGGCCTTGTGACCCTTAGCAAACAGCAAACCGTCTTCAAGCCAGTACCTTCTCACCATACCGGCTGTGACTTGTTGCTTGAGTCTCTCATAGACCGGGTCATTCTCACTTTCCCGTCTCAGCTCCTCCCTGAAACGGCTTTCAACTAGGGAGATGGCAGCAACGTACTCCTCTATCTCCTTACGGCTTAAGGCATCAGCCACATGATTTTCACGCCCGGGCCGGTGCTGCCATTCGAAATCAAACTCCGCTAGGAACTCTTGCCATCGAGCCTGCTTGGGAGTCAACTTTTGCTGGGTTTTGAAGTAAGTGTTGGCCACATTATCGCTCACCACCGTGAACCGAGTTCCTAGCAAGTAGTCTCGCCACAATTGTAGGCAATGTACAACGGCCGTCATCTCTTTCTCATGGGTCGTGTACCTCATCTCATGCTCCTTCAGTTTCCGGCTCTCAAAAGCAACCGGGTGTTTATCCTGCACTAAGACACCACCAATAGCACGGTCAGAAGCATCGGTGTGTACCTCAAAGGGGCGGGCAAAGTCAGGCAACTTCAGGACTGGCTCTGTTGCAATGGCTGTCTTCACGTCTTGGAATGCCTCCTCGCACTTCCTAGACCATATCCACGTCGTGTCCTTCTTCAGCAAGTCCCTCAAGGGGGCAACAAGTCTCGAGTAGCCCTTGATGAACCGTCTATAGTAGTTTGCCAACCCGAGGAACGACCGCAGCTCTTGGGCTTTACTCGGGGCCGTCCAATCCAACACCGCCTCCACCTTCCGGGGGTCCATTCTGATTTTCCCATGGCCAAGGATGTGGCCAAGGAAAACGATCTCTTGCCGGTAGAATTCACACTTCTCTTTCTTGACGTACAGCTCGTGTTCCCTAAGCCGTTGGAACACTAGTCTCAAGTGTTGCACGTGCAACTCAAGGGTCGCCGAATACACCACAATGTCGTCTAGATAAACGACCACAAACTTGTCCAAATACTCATAAAGGACATCATTTATCAGTTTGCAAAAAGTAGCCGGGGCATTAGTGAGCCCAAACGGCATTACTAAGAACTCAAAGGAGCCGTACCTGGTTACCACCGTTGTTTTCCCCTCGTCCCCGGCCGCTATGCGCACCTGCAAGTAGCCAGCCCGGAGATCAATTTTTGTGAAGTACCGGCCCTCCACCAACCGGTCGAACAAGTCATAGGTGTTGGGCACCAGGTACTTATTCTTCACGGTGATCTTGTTGAGAGCCCGGTAATCAACACAAAACCGCAGCGATCCATCCGTCTTCTTTTGGAACAGGGCAGGGGCACCAAACGGGGCCTTAGACGGCTGCATAAGCCCGCTCTCTAGCAACTCATCTAGCTGCCATCTCAACTCGGCCAACTCCAAGGGGGACATTCGGTAAGGGGCTTGGGCAAGCGGCCTAGCACCCAGTACCAGCTCAATGTGGTGATCCACGGCTCTTCTTGCGGGCAATCTCTTTGGCAACTCTGGGGACATGATATCGGCAAACTCATCAAGTAAATGTGCAATGGGTCCGGGCACGTCTTGGTACTCATCCGGCTTGGTCTCCACCATTACCGCCAAGAACGTTGGCTCACCGTGTTTCAACCCGTTTTCCAGCTGAATAGGTGAAAGGATACCCTTGCCTTTATCAACCCTCCGGCTCTCCTCCACTTGGGTGCAACGCACAAACATGGGGCATCTCTCATCTGCAAACATGACACCATCCAAGTGTGGAATAGGAAAAGCCTTATGTTTGTATAAGAAATCCTTACCAAGGATTATTTTGAAGTCTCCCAGCTTCCGGACCGACATCAACTCACACGATCCTTTCCAGGCCTCCACAGACACATCAACCGTGCATTTACCGACCACCTCCGCGTCCGAATTCACGGTTCTAATCCGGCTTTCTTGGGGCAGCAACTTAAGCTTCAACCGTTTAGCCTCTTCATCGGCTATGAAGCTGTGTGTGGCTCCACAATCCACCATGACCGTAGCCTCTATGCCATTAACCAAAGACTTCATATACATTAATGAATTTTCAAGGGACGGGGACCGTACCATTGTGATTGCATTCAGTAATTTCATGGGGTTCAACCGGGACGGGACCGTTTCCTCAGCTTCCCCTGAGACGATATCATTGATCTTCTCCTGGTAGGGGCAGTCCCGTGCCATATGCGGCCCGTCGCATTTGAAGCAACCGGTTCTCTTCTTTTGCTGCTCATTCGAGGAAGAAGACTTACCG